AGCGCCCGCACAGCCGCCACCACCGCGCTGCCGCCATGCTGCCGGCGCGCGCGCCACACTTCCGCCCTCCCAGCAGCGCCGTCCCCGCCCTCCCGGGGTCGCGTGGCGGAGCGCACGTCCGAGCCCGCCCTTGATCACGGGTTCGAGCCCGGGGCCCGGGCCAGGCCGGGCAGGTGCTAGAGCGAGGGACGCGGATGGTATGAGCGTGGCTTTGGCCCCTGTCCAGTCTTCCTTTTCCGCCTCTGTTCCCTGCAGTCGTCTGCACAGATAGCTATCGAATATCTCCAACGATGGAGATTCTATAATCTCTCTAATCACCCTGTGACACTGCTCCCACAGCCTCTCTCTAAAAAAGTCTTTCCTCATGTTTTGAGAGAGCCTCCCGTGTTTCTTGTTTTGCCTATTGCTTCTTGCCTTTTCACCAGGCACTTCTGAGAAGAGCCTGGCTCTGTCTTCACGCTTCCCTTAGGTAGGTATTGCTCTACTTTTATGACACTCACGAGCCTTCCCTTCAGCAGGGAAGCAGTGGCAGCTCCCCCAGCCTTTCCTCAGGGGAGATGCCCAGTCCCTGCATCATCTCTGCACTTCTTTGCTGGACTGGTCCGTGGTGCTCATAGTGAAGAACCCGCAGCTGGACACAGTGTGCCGGCCGTGCTGAGGGGAGGCTCCCTTCCCTGAACCTCACTCAGGCCAGGACAGGCACAGCAGTGGCTCGGGTTCACCTCAGGGCTCGGCAGAGCCCTCAGGTCCTGTTCCGCAGAGCTCTTCAGGAGGTTGGCCGGCCCCCTGTGTGTCCTGGTGTGTTAGGTTATTCCTCCCCAGGTGCAAGACATTGCATTTCTATTTGCTGAACTTCATGATGGGAACATCAGACCATCTTTCCTTCCCGTTGAAAGATTAAATTAAATTTAAAGATTCAAGGGAGCCTTGAGACTTGTTTCAGTGGTATTTGGTGGAAAGACAATAGGCAATGGGCACACATCAAAAGACAAGAAATTCTATTTAAACAAAGCGAAGCGTTTTTACAATGGGTGTTATTGAGTGTTGGAACAGTGTGTGGAACCGGCATCCTTGGAGATGTTCAAAATCCAATCAGACAAAGTCCTGAGAAGCCTGTGCAAGTTGCTTCTGCTCTGAACAGAGGGGTTTGACTGTGGATCTTCAGGGACCCCTCAGCCAAACTGGTGGTACCACACAGGAGTCTGCGTGGCTGGGAGGGCCAGAGGGGTTGACTAGATGGCAGATGCACCCCAAGTGGACTATTAGGCTTTAATGGCCCTGGGCAGCCTCCCTCAGACCTGCTTATCACTTGTTTTATGGTCTGACTTCTGAGTCTCTGCTGTTGCCTTTCTTGGGTGCTGTGGGACTGGGGGTACCCTTTCTCCAGTGTTAAAAATAAAAACAATGTTCAAATTATATTTTCTTGTTCTAATCCCAGTTTATGTCCCTGGTTAAGTTGTTAAAAAGTGCTTACTTGTTTTATCCCTGCCTTTAGTCATTTGTACCCCCCCCTTATTCCCTTCCAACCCGTCGGGTAATTTAGCCGCTGCTACCCAGGACAAACTTCCGCATTTCCCATAAAGATTTGTGCATGGGTGCATATTGAAATCATATTACCACCTGGGAATAAAGACAGTCCTGGACAATGAACCACTCTCAAGGAACATCTAGAGGTTGCCACACTATAGAGGCAGCAAGGACATGGAGGAAGCTGGGTACACCAGTCTCAGTCCAACAAGCTGGTCCCCATGACCTAGGCAGTACCTGCGCGGGAAGACTGCCCTGGACTATTGAGCCAAAAGCAAGGTCTCTGGAGGGTCCCTGCGAGGATAGAGACTCTCGTCCTGCCAACAGCTAATGGTGACAGGCCTGTGTGATTCTTCTCCCGGACACTGACCATTGGGCGCAGCACTCACTCCGAACTCCCACCTTTAGGCCCTGTTCTCTCTAATAAAGGCTTGGTAAAGGGAGCAGGAGGTTTCCTAGCCCTTTATTTACATCACCCAGCAGCCCTGTTATTCAGCTTGATTCCTGTCCATTAGGGAACAGAAGACAAGAAAAGGGATATCGGGGGGCAACAAACACCTTTCACTTTGTGCAGATGCCATGCCATTAATGCAACATTTTAGTAAGTAATGAAAACCCATTACTGTTCAAGCCTCTGGGACCTCTTCCACATAATCTCTTTTGGGGGTGGATTTTCGAGATGGAAGTATGTGCCCGTGTACAGTATGCTGCAGATGAAGCAAACCTCATGTAGCGTTGTCAGGTTATGGACATATGCCAAAGATGGCATCAAATAAGAAGCTTTAGGGAAAGGCCTTGTCAAAATCTGAGATTAGTATTTGACCCATGAGGTAGGCACATGGAGATAAGAAAGTATAATACTTCATGTGATAAGTAATGTCTCTAGCTTTGGAAGGTCACAGTCCTGAGGAAAAATAACAGAAAAAAAATAATGGAAAAGTATTGTGGAAAAAAATTCCCTTTATTTTTCAAATATGGAAACTATCTGTATTAACACTGGAAGTAATAGCATGAAGAAAAAGCCCTCAGGAATTAACAGAGTCAAATTGCATGAATACCATGAACACACTGTACAGTACTGATCTCCAGTTCTGTGGGCAGAGCAGAAGGACATACAATTTCATAGGCAGCTCTGATTCCTGGAAAAAGGTGCATGTATCACATACATAAAATGACATGCAGCCTAACTGAAAATCCATATTCTTCCTGGATTTTCTCCAAATTAGTATTGAAGAGTTATG